TTTGTAAGATTTAAGCCGGTATTATACCGCTTAATACAGAATCCTAACCATCGAGATATAAGGTTGAGTGAACTTGGCTACTTCTAGTCCGACTGAAATCTATGTTGCAGACATAAGTATCAAAATGGTCACCAGTAACTTCGTGACTTTCAACATGGACCATCTACTTGTTTAGTGACAAGTAACTACTACCAGTCATACCATGTTGGTTGAGTGTTTTATAAATTACCAAAGATCAATTTTTTTTTAAATACAGACTCAGTCATCTTAATTAGTTTCCTAAATTTAAATGGGTGTAGTTGCGCAATAACTTGTATTGATCAGAGTTAGGTATTAGCACCGTAGGAGGCCGGCTCAGTGGTCCGAAGGTTAGGCGTTCGCGAGCAAGACTAGAGGTCTTAGGTTCGATTCCCACAAGCGAGGATCGTGGATGCGCACTGCCACTGATGAGTTCTATACTAGGACTTGATGGCCCTCCAGTGCTTGTTTCAATGAAATTTAACAATCTCCATAACTCGAAAGTGAAAAATCCTAATGACCTAATGCATTATGACGCATAGATTATGAACTTCATTATTTCAGTCAGTAAATAATCAATATTAATGGATAGGGCTAGAACTGCCGGTGATTTATTGATTTTCCTCTCTTCTGGTAATGTGTAGATCACATTCAAAAAACTTTATCACAATTAGTTAATACATAATGAAATAATGAACATTTTTTGTTATGAAATGAGTTCTATTCACATCCACGCTGAATGGTGAGTAATTTTGAAACGTTTTTTTACATCATTTAAGTAGAGTAAATATTTCTCGGGAGAACCGTAGGATTATTAGAAATCAATAGAAATCGATTTGTTGAAAAATTTTCTTGAAACTGAACTTCACAGTAGTTTAGTGGAAAAGATACCTTTATCTATCGCTCAGAGTTGAGAAGAAAACGTTTGTTTTGTCTTGTCTTTGTACAATGGAAGTAACATAATAGGGGAAGTAAAATAATGTCTTAATGCGTCCATCTATTTCGAATGCGAATTCTTCACAAAATATACTTTATTTACAACTAATAACTTCTAACTTATGTCACTAAAGGTACTTTAAACACTTGTGTCATCTAAATGAACTAAAAATATCATAAACTGCGTTTACATGATTCAACGACTATGTTGTATGACCCCATCATTCTGTTGTCATTTTACGGGATCTGAAGTAAGTAAACAGTAAGAAACCATAAGGATTCATTAATGAAAGTATTTATGACACAAGAAAAGACACGAACTCATACTCATCTGTAGAATGAGTTACTTAACAGTGATAAAAATCGTTGAAAAACTCTTAAAGTACAAAAACACACATCACATTTTCGGTTACAAACAAATAATTTTGACATCTTTCTGATTATTATTGTCTAGTGTCGGTTATGAAAAAATTTCTAAATCACTTTCAAGTCAGTCAAGCTGAAAATTATCGTGTACTTTTCAGGTTGATATTTTATTCTATTTCAAAAGTGTAATCACCATTAAATGTATTTTATGATCTGCTGATACATGTTTTGGGAGAACAGGAATAGCGTTACGTGAGTTCAAAACGTCCGCATCATTGACACGAGGTGACAAATAAACGAAAGAAAGGTTGTTACTAGAGACAAGAGAGTTATCAGAAGAATTTGATTGTGACTGATTCGGTCTCGTGTGCTGTATGAGGGAAGATATCACTTCCCGGCTGCCCACACGGTGGTAGGGTGTTTCTTTAGGAACCTGAAAAGAAAGGTAGATTAGTGTGACCTCAGGGATAACTGCCTGAGGCGGGTCACGCAAGGCCTTTTTATGGGGAGTTTTTACAGTGTTAACTCCGCTCTTCAAGAATGATGGGATCCACGTGCGTCACTTGTTTAGAATGAGGGTTTTCCAAATCCTCTAGTTGAATGCTTTGTACTCAATGACCCGGGTAAAGCTCTGGACTCACACTGCACAAGAAGGGAGTGAGTGAGACTTCTATTAAAGTAGTTATATACTCATGGACATGTGAGTGTATTCGGAGAGGGAGAGATTACTGTGACTACTGTCAGATGTATCTCGACATTTTGGTGTTGAAAATACTTGATTTCTATTTAATTGAACGTCAAGCAAAATCGTACGTCAAAATATGTTAAGAAAGTTCATAGAATCAAAAATATTACTGTTTGACAATGAACTATTTATCAAGATTTTTAGCCTATGAAATGTATCTTTATAACTTCAGTTGATCATATTACCCCATCTACAAGTTGGTCGAATTAACATAAAACGTTTCAGGAACATTATTTTACCTAGGTATTTATTTGTTCTTGGCAAATGAAATTCGTTAGTACAAATTTAGAACTACTTTTATAAACAATTTATAAAAATTATTGTTTGGAACTGAAATTATTTCCATTTACTGACTGGTGTGTGAACTTTATTTCATTGATCAATTAGAGCTCTTTTTGCATTCACTGTCCAATTATCTAACACAGATTTATTGACAGTTGACTGCGATTTAAAGAAAAGTGTTTGAAAAAAATAGGAAAATTCGCTGTTTCAAATATGTCAACCGGGTAGTGCTTTTCTAGTACTGTACTAAATTCCTATATATTAATCATAATATCGGAGGAAACTTTTTACCAGTCACTACTAAGGAGTACATAAGAAGATATTGATAATTAATAGGAGGTTCATTGAGTGTGATATGAAAATATATAACACTGAATAAATAACAGCATAACTTAAACAAAGCTGACAATCACCTTCAACTTTTTTATTGATTAGATTTTTAAATGAGGATTGTTTCTGAATTCTAGTAGTCAATTGATAAAATTTGCCTCAATATAATTCGTTCGAAGCTCCCAAACAAACCAGTAGATGGTATATTCAAATTAATTCTACTTTATGCTATGCAAAGCCTTATATCTTTGCATGATAGGGTAATGGAGATTGTTCAGTTACTTTTAGAAATCATGAATTAATCAATATTTGACCATCATTAGAAATTTGGAAGCACTGAACGGCCGTTTCGTCCTGGTACGGGAATCATCAGCAGTGCGTATCCACCACTCTCGTGAGTTGCAGTATTCGAACCCAGGAACTTTCGGTCTTGTGAGCGAACGCCTAACGTCTTGACAACTGAGCCGGTATCGTGACCAGTGGAGTTCAATCCTGTTCGGATGCGAAGCAGTGCTCACCGAAACAAGGGATGATGTCGCACAAGATCATGGATTGATTGGTGTTAGATATTAACACCGTCAGGTGCCGTCTCAGTGGTCCAGATGTTAGGCGTTCGCACACAAGACTAAAAGTTCCTAGGTTTGAACACTGCAACACACGGTAGTAGTGTATACGCACTGCTGATGACTCCCGTACCAGGACAAAACGGCTTTCCAGTGCTTCCATGTTTCTAATGTTGCTCTAACATTGATAGATTCATCATTTATATCTATCTCATAGACTATGTATTATTTAACTCTGAGTGTACAAATACCTATTCATAGCTGCTGGTTAATGTCATTTTAATCGTTTCAGATTAAGTATGAATCAGTTCGAACTGTGAAATATACAAAGCAGTAGAAACGTGAAGAGAAAAAAAACATATTAATCGGTCATTTTATTAAGTTCAATAATTAACAATCATAAACTGCACTTGTTGTAAATCAGTGTTACACTTACACAAAATAGCTTACCAGTTCATTATTCGTAGAATGTTTAGGATTCGCTGACAAATCAAATAAATCCGCAATTGTTACACGTCTCATAACATAGAATAATGATCGTATGATGTGATCAACAATGTTAACATGATTACAATGAACAAATAATATTGATTGTACAAATAGTAGTCATTTCAATGATGAGCACAGCTCTTAAATATTGATTGATTCGACTTGACTTGACTTGATCAACAAACAGTGAGTAAATGAGTAATCAGAGTTTTGTATTAGCTGACCAATCAAAAAATGCGTAGCATTTAAAAATGTCTTTGGAATTGTGTGATTTTTATAATTGTAGTATCTAGATATACCATGAATCAGTTTAATTTATTAGTTAGTTATATGATTGTATTTGATATTTATCAGCTTGATAAAATATGTTTATATGAATTGATTTAAAAAAGTGTTTGTTATAATCTGACACTTTGATGTTCAATGATCAATAAAGTCAATTACTGAGAAAACAGACGTTTACTATTGCTCGTCCATAACAAAGGATATTGAAAATAATGTACTAGCAATGATAATAGTGAAGTCATCAATCAGTTATTGTTAGACCACCATCAGAAACCTGGAAGCACTGGACGGCCGTTTCGTCCTGGTGTGGGACTCATCAGCAGTGCGCATCCACGCGCAAAATCCCTAGATCAATCAAAGTTAGACACTAACACCGTTGGATGCCGGCCCAGTGGTCCGATGGTTAGGCGTTCGCCTACAATGCCAAAGGTCCCAGGTTCGAATCCTGCGAGGAGCAGGAGTCGTGGACGCGCACTGCTGATGAGTCCCATA